CAAACCCTGACTATATACGATAGATCTTTTAACGTGCGCAGGGTGTGATGACTCATAATGTAGATATTGATGGCAATCAGTTGGCTTACAAAAAAGACTTGTAATAAATCTACCAGCATCAATTCCCACCGAAACATCAAGAAAATTCACTTTAGTCTGCGAGTACTCGTATGTAAATTTCAAGCCAGGATAGAACGTATTAAGTTTTTCCATAAACTGCAACAGTTTATCTTCATATATATATATATATATATATATATATATATATATATATATATATATATATATATATATTGCTTTTTGTGACGACACTTGCCGAAAATTTCGCTCCTTTTATTGAGCAAATTATCTTTGTTTATGTCTTTCAAAATGCAAAACTTTTCTTCCAAACATAAATTGCAGCGTTTTGATCTCCCTGTGTACGAAATAGCGTGTTTTAAAATTGACCATTTGATGGTATAATCTTGATTTCCAAATATGTTTCGAAAGTTCCGTTTTGTTTGAGTCTTTTTTATGACGAAAAAATGAATATTGTTTGATAAGGGTATCTTTAGTCAACGCTGTTTTACTTGATTCAACTGACAACAATTAATATATTGTCGTATCTGACTGTAATTAGGCTCATTTGTTGAATTGTTTCACTGCCTAACAATGATATGCATTCTTGTTTCAAAACAACAAATTCAGTTTCATAGCTTTTGCCAGTTTTCTCATTTTTTAATTGTAACACACATATTGTCCGACCGGTTGTACCGTCGCTTTGTTATACATCTTGAGAACTCGGCTTGTTCTTTTCAATTGAACTTTTCCTAAACACCGCTCTAACATAGACTCAGGGGCGGATCTAGAATTTTTCGTACGTTAGTCAAAAATTTCGTTGCTGAGCATCAAGGGGGGGGGGGTTGCAAAGCGAATTAATTTATATCCAGTTTTACGAAAAAATGTTAGATGAAAAATTACTGTTTCGCCCAATTCAGGGCTCGTCAGCATGCCTGGGAAACACATAACTCCATATTGTGTCCTTAATTTACATGAATGGTCAAACGATTTTCAAATATAGCGATGTAGTTTTATAAAACATTTGATTGATTGTTAATTCGCAGGAAGAGAATTTCCACGTTTAATTCACTGCTTCTCGAGTTTTATTCGTAGCAGAAACGTATGCCATGAATAAGTATTCACAATGGCAACATGATGCATTTTACTTTTATTGTATACATGTTGTAGAGATCGTATTACACAAAGCCATGCCACATTGTCATGTGCTTGTAGTTTTAATATACTAGACAACTAGGTATAAATAATACAGTATTATTAAGTATCTGATCAATATATAAAGCCTACATTCCACAAGAGGCATAAACAAAGTATAAACAAACTGAAACTGCTTGTATTAAGCCGCAGTATTGTGTAAATTGACCAAAATATTATGTAAATTTCGTCTCTTATTACATACAGCGCGCAATCCACTACAGCTTACAACAGCTATAATGCTATATCTAGTTAAAATAGAATATATTTACCTTAAGCCCCTACAAAACTTTTTTGTTTTCTCTCGGACGTAATTCGGGATGTAAGATTCCACACCAAAATTTCGCGGTGCGAGGAAGAAGCTTGTGTTGTTCACAGCGCTCAATAAGTCTTTTATAACGGAACGCTTCGGTTACATATTAGTCATATATTGTCGATCAGATTCTCTAAAGCAGCCTTTGCGGTTTCGTAATTACGAACAGACATGGGTAGTATTAGTTTAGAAGTTCTGATAAATTTTCCGATTGCCATAAAACGCACATGCTATAAAATCGGCGGGTACGCGTATAATAATAGGAGACGAAATTTACATAATATTTTATTGACCAGCAACGTCATAGACCTTTCCGTGCATACTATTAGCCTGAGCGGTATGATCGATCAAAAAAATCCAGCCAACGGGAATTGAGAATTTTTTTGAATTAGCCAATCAGATAGCCTGTATTCGAGCCCCTGATCACTTTAGCGATCAGAACTCCCCACAGATCGCGCAAAAATCGAGATAGCCAATCAGATGGCTGGAATCTGACTCAGAGCGTGCAAAACTCATGCGTAAGACCGCTTTTCTGCGCGTTCATGTTCGAAGGCCTTGCTACTGGATGATATCTTAGAACTGGACTATTAAACTTTCAATACTGGACTATTAAACTGGCCAATTTTTACCTTAGTCGCGTGATCGCTCTGATCATCCCTAGATCCGCCCCTGATTACATAGATAATGAAATGACATTGCATGTCGCGCCACTGTTTAATTGAAAATTAACAGGCTGTTTACCAACAGTTATTGAGGCATATAATCGCTTTGGGAATTGTTTTGTGCTTGACGATTTTTCTGGCTTTCGCTTATCGTCCACTTTTACCATTTTAATTTCCTCATAGTCGCTGCTATCACTGGAAGTGTCTACCTTTTTAACTGTTAATTGTCTTTTAGTTTTGCAAACAGAGGCAAAATGATTAAATTTACGGCACTTTCGGCATTCTTTCCCATACGCAGGTTCGATTCATGCATACCCCCACAATATTTGCATTTCCTTTCTACGCCTACGGCATTGTTCAACTGTTTAGAATTATATTCGTCTCTTACCTTTCGGCTTCTATTTTGCTTACCGCCCTGTCCAGCGTTGAATGCATAAATTCAATCGTTGTCTTCGATCTTTTTACTTCGTTCTTTTGATAGTTCAGCTGCGTGACAGTTTTCTATGCATTTATCCAGGCTCAGTTCAGGTATTTTCAACAAGTCCTGTCGTAGCTTCGAGTCAGTCATGCCACAAATTATTCGGTCTCGGATCAATGATTCTTTAAGCTGTTCAAAGTTACACGTTGCACCCAGAATTTTCACATCTGTGATAAACTTATCCAATGTTTCTCGCGCTTCTTGCACTCTTGTAAAAAAACTTGTATTTCTCTACCGTCTCGTTTTTCTTCGGGTCACAATTCAACAATATCTTTAAAGCTCCGCTCTTCGGGTTCTTGATCAAACGATAGTGCATGTCTCGTATATTTCTCGACCTTGACTTCAAACAATGTAGAGAAAGAGTTTAACTATTGTCTCTTCCTTCTTTCCAACCATAGCGAATTCCATATACAGCTCTACCTCTTCTCGCCAACGTTTCCATGAGTTCGCGACATTTGAAACGTCGAAGTCAAACTCAGTAGGTGGTTTTAGGTGAGTAATTGGTCGAATTATTTCACTAGTTTCTGGTTTCGCCATGTTTCTCTCAGGCTCGTTTGACTACACACCTGACACCATGTTAAACATCCCGTTTTATATTAGCACATGCACGCATTTAAGTACAGTAGATTAAGACACATTTAATAAAACTGCTATCTCTTTTCTACGGTTGCTTCGTCCCATTTTATACGATGGTCGTAAGTCCAAGTATGTTTAGCCACAGCAGATTTATCTTGCTCGGCTTTCTCGCAATTCGTCTTGTGTTCCTTAAGACGTACTGAGCGAAGATTTCGACCAGTTTCACCAATGTAAACCAGACCACATTCACAACGGGAATGCGGTACACACCAGGTTTCTGTGATTCATTGTTTTCATTGTGATTCATTTTTTTCTGTGATTCATTGTCGGACGCATCGCAGACAAGAAGATTTGGCCAGTCATCCATTACAACGCACCGTTATCAATATGAGTGCTAGAAGACTTACACCAGTTGAAGCAGATGTCTTGGCTCTTGGATTAAATTTCGCTGTGGTACCCCGTGTTCTTCCTAAAGAAGAATTCGTACAACGTTTGGAACGAAGTTATACCACATGACGAACGATGCAGCTAGTAACATCCGCGTCCAAATCACTGAAGTTCTACGACGTGCAACGCTACCAGCTTCGAATTTAACCAAGAATAAGAAGGATGCGTTGAGAAACTTAAGAGCAGATAAGTCAATACATAATTATTTTAAAGGCTGATAAGGGTAACACTACGGTTATTTTAGATCGTCTAGAATATAATAATAAAATCTTGGCTCTTTTAAACACTTCAACTTATAAAAAGCTTAAAAGAGACCCTATACTAACATTGAACGTAAAATATGTTCCAAACTATCTGGTTTTAAAAAGGCAGGTATTTTGTCTCAAACACTTCATAACTGTTTGAGACCTTCAGCTACTGTTTGTCCAAAATTTTGTGGTTTACCTAAGATACATAAACCTAATGTTGGGCCCACTAATACCTATTGTAGCGTCCATAGGTTCGCCAACGTATGCCATGGCTAAATATCTCGCTGAGATATTGAAAACAGTTGTTGGAAAAACCGAACATCATGTAGTAAATTCTAAAGAATTTGTAACAAAAATGGAACAAATTAGATTGGGTAAGAATGACATTCTGGTAAGATTTGACGTTTTGAAGAGGCGTGTAATATCGCGAAAGAAAGACTTCTTTCAGATATTACATTATCTCAAAGAACTAATCTTTCTCCTGAGAATGTTCATGCTTATGATTGACCACGACATGTTTTCAATGGCGGGAGAAATTCTACTGCAACGTTGAAACCTGGTTTCTGGTTCAGATATCTATACATTGAGTAGCTGGTCTCATGGACTAGATAATTTACATAAGTTTATAGACCACATTAATAGTTTGCATCCATCGACCAAGTTTACTTTTGAAGTACAGAAGGATGATAAAACTATACCGTTCTTAGATGTTCTGTTCACTATACATGATGATGGGTCGCTAGGACATAAGTTTTATAGGGAACCAAGTCAACCAACACACACAGACAGGTATCTGCATTATAATTCATTTCATCATCCTAGTATTAAAAACTCTGTGTGTAAGAGCGAAAACAATTTGTGAGGTAAGTAACATTGACGATGAATTAGAACATTTAAGAAATGTTCTAAGAATGAATGGTTACCCACGGCATTTCATAGATAATGCTATGAAACTACACCACAAAGTATACAGCAGAAGATCGAATATCAGTCGTCTGTTTGTCTACCATACATTGGTCCTAGCCTATATAGATCAGTGGCTAAGATGAGCGAGCGCGCGGGGGTGTTGTCGTGTCCTGACCTAGCACCCCCACGCGCTCGCTCATCTTAGCCACTGATCCATATAAAAACACTGTAGTATTGCTATTTTTCGCACGTTATTTGCGCCTGGGTACGAGGCTGAAGCAGGTATAAAGGTATACCATTCCAGCGAAAACAAATTGTTTCGAGCTCTTTGCACACATAAAGACAACGTAAATGAACCACATAAACCTGGTGTGTACCGTATTCCTTGTGAATGTGGTCTGGTTTATATTGGTGAAACTGGTCGAAATCTCTCAGTACGTCTTAAGGAACACAAGACGAATTGCGAGAAAGCCGAGCAAGATAAATCTGCTGTGGCTAAACATTCTTGGACTTACGACCATCGTATAAAATGGGACGAAGCAACCATTTGGCGATTGATAGTCCGATTCTCTTCTCGTTATTTTGTAATGATTTGCTAGATATCGATGACTTAAAAGAAGGAGAAATTTACATGTATGCGGACGATACCACACTTTATGTCATTGCGCCAAATCACGATTTGGTGGCAAATATTCTGAACAGGATCTTAGGCAAACTTTACAAATGGTGCTGTGAGAATCGATTAACGCCGCATCCTGACAAAACGGAGTTCATGCTAATGAGTCGAAGGAAGTTTATCGGTCCACTTCAATGCATCAAATTAGGAGGAAACCAGATAAAACAAGTCGTGTCGACCAGATGTTTAGGGCTGCAAATTGATTGTAATCTGGGGTGGAGCATGCAGTCATGTCTCGGATTTAATTCTGTCATTTACTCAAATTTTCTACTGGAAATCACTGTACTTCTTGCCAATTAATGCAAAGCTAGACTTTTATTTCAAAGTTGTGTTACCTTCCATCACGTACGGAATTTTGATATGGGGTTCATGTGGAAAGACCTTGTTCGACGAGTTGGAACGAATACATGTCCGGTCAGCGAAAGTTATCTTTGGCCTGGATTGGTAAACCTCAGGAAAAGATGTTCTCGCAAAAGTGAAGTGGTTTACGCTGAACAGTATGTTTAAACAACAACTTTTATACTTAGCTCATAAAAAACTATTATAATCTGATTCCTGCAACATTACAGTCTCTATTCATAAAAACTGGCCATCGATATGAACTTAGAAATAAAATGACTTATGTACTACCGAAACCTTACACTGACTATCTAAAAATATCCATATCTTACCAGGCTGTCACTCTCTGGAACTCGCTAGATAAAGAACTTAATATCAGCTGAATCTCTCACTAAGTTCAAAAAGCCTGTCAAGGCGTTGCAATTGTAGACAGTAATAATTAATATATGACTAGCTAATGCCTATTTATTGCTAAATTAATCAAATCTTGTCTTAACATAGCTATATATCTTACATCAAAGCTGGTTAATTTCGCTAAGAGCACTTAATTTAAGCTTCTACTTGCATGTTTAAAGAGTATATTTCGTAGTTATTTCCTAAACAGTTTATGTCTTGGTATTACTGACTGAAAATTAGATAGTCATGTATAATATAACAATTGTGTTACAATGTGACGCCATAATAGGTTTTTAAAAGTAGTTAATATGTATGAATTGTGTAAAATAGTATCTCAGTTATGTGACATGTAATTTATTGTTCTGTTAGATCATGTAGAGTTAGATGTATTCATGTTAGTTTATATTTATATATTGTAGTTAGTTTCACGTGCACGGCCACATCAGCTATGCTGTAAATTTACTATCGTGTTTAAATAAATGCTTTTATTATTATTATTATTATCATTATTATTATTATTATTATTATTATTATTATTATTATTATTATTATTATTATTATTATTATTATTATTATTATTATTATTATTATTATTATAACTTCTCTCGCAAAATGAGAGAGTCAATTGAAATCGAGAAGCACAATACTATAGATCAGGAGGAAAAGCCACTAGATAGTACGCTGTGTCTTCAATACCATTAAAGATCATATTTTCTGTCGAATAAATCCTTGTCAACATGGTTTCCTTCCCGGAAAAAACTGTGTTACCCAACTTATCGAAGTTTTTGACAACATAGGAAAACAACTAGATCTTGGCAAACAGATCGATGTAATTTATTTAGATATGACAAAGTTAGCCATAAATGTCTTCTTCTTCGTCTCCGTGAATTTGGTTTTGGAGGCAACATTCTTAACTGGTTCCGCTCCTACCTACAAGACCGTCGTCAACAAGCAACCATCCTCGGTGCAACATATTTACCTAGTCAAGTAACATGTCTCCTGGGGCGAGTCGGTCAAGATGGCGACCAAAATATTTGCTCCGTATTGATGATATATTTTGTTGAATTATATCGTTACATTTGTATTATATGTCTTATTTGTGTGTTCTTTATGTGTTTGCTATCATGACTGCAGTAACAGCTGAGCAATTAACGGCAATTCTTGAATCTAAATTGGAAGAGAAGCTTGCTCCTTTGAATTCGACTATAATCGAACTAAAGTCTCAGGTAGCTGATGTTCTAAAGCACGCTAATTTTATCGATGAAAAGTATGAAGAGATGCGATGTAAAGTGGAAAATTATGAGAAGAAACTAAAGGAGGTAAATGACAAGAACAAAATACTTAAAACTTCAGTTAGAGCTCTGGAAGAAAACTTTTCTTTGCTGTCTGACTCATATAATGACTTAGAACAATACAGTAGAAGAGAATGTGTGGAAATTAGAGGAATACCGACACCAGAAAACTTAAATGAAGAATCAACGAACCAAATTACAATAGATATTGGTAAATTAATTGGTATAGATATTGCACCCGAAGACATTTCAGTGAGTCATCGCCTTTCCACTAGGAGAAATGCTGTACCTGGTCGACCAATGCCTATAATAGTGAAGTTTGTGAGAAGGGATACCAAGGCTCAGTTCTACGGCAGCAGGAAATTATTGCAATATAAATCAACTCTGGACCTGGGGTTTGATGTGGAAAATAAGATCTATATCTCAGAGAGTCTAACAGATAAAAATAAAGATTTATTTTACTGCTGTTTCAAAGTGAAGAAAGAATTGAATTATAAGTACCTCTGGACCTCAAATGGAAGGATCTTCTTTAGAAAAGATATGGACAGCAAACCACTCCAGATTAAAGACAAGTATTACCTTGAAAAGCTTAAGTAAATTCAGATAAGTAAATTTATTTCCTCTATATATTATAACAAACACTATTATGTATTTAAATGTTCTGTCGAAAGTGTCCAAATAATAATTTGAGTGATGATAGTTCTGAGCACGGTTTCTATTAACCGTGTTCTGAGAGAGAGCAGTAAACTTATCGGACTCTCTCCCATATTTAAATATCACTTCACCACTATGTATCCCACAACTTACAGATCAAGATGTGGACTGAAACTTATCTACTTTGTCTAACTTTGCCTATTATAGTACTCATGATTTTCACAATGATTTTGATATAAATGAATGTTTTAAAAGCAAACAGTCTCTATTTACTTTACATTGTAACATTAGAAGTCTATCTGCAAACTTTGACAACTTGAACAATATGCTCTCAGAGTTATCCTATCCGTTTGCATTAATTGGTCTGTCAGAAGTAAAATTGAAAGTTGGCCAACCTGCAATTTCCAACACTGATATACCAGGTTATAAATTTATTGCACAACCAAGTTTAAGCAATGCTGGTGGTGTTGCTTTTTATGTTGGTGACAGTGTTGATTATCTTGTACATTCTGAAATGTCTATCACTACGGATAACTTTGAAGCTTTGTGGATTGAAGTACTAAATACGAATTATTCAAATATTTTGTGTGGTGTTATATATAGGCATCCTACTGGCAATCCTGAAAATTTTAATAGATACTTAAATGATATTCTAGAGAAAATTAGCCAAATGAAAAAAACCTGTATTATACTTGGAGATTTCATCAAAATACTGACGAGTTTCTAAATTCATTGGGTTCGAATTTTTTCCAACCTCTAATATTGCAACCAACTAGAGTGACAGATCACTCTGCTACTCTAATTGATAATATATTTTTTAATTCACTTGAATATTCTGTAATAAGTGGCAATATAGCATATGATCTTACTGATCATTTACCAAATTTTCTGATTATAAATAAATATGAACCTCTTTCAGCAAATATAAGTAAAACTATAAGAGATTTCTCTAAACTAAATAAACCTGATTAAATGAATGAGTTAAATAGTATAAATTGGCCAGATGTATCTGCAACTGACTTAGATCCATCACAGGTGTTTGAGATATTTTATGATATTATTTCTCAGATAATTGACAGGCATATACCTGAACGTCCTATGACTAGAAAAGAAAAGAAATTTGAGTCAAAGCCTTGGATTACTCATGGCTTAAAAGTGTCTATCCAATTAAAAAATAAATTGTATAGGAAGTGGATAAAAACAAAATCTACTTATTACCATGCTAAATTTAAATTATATAGAAATAAAATAAATCATCTCCTAAAAATTAGTAAGAAAAAATATTATAATGAATATTTTATTAAAAATCGTAAGGACAGCAAAAAAGTATGGAAGGGCATTAAAGAAATTGTGAAATCAAAGCCTCAACAATTCAAATGCACAAAAATTATGAATGGAAATCAGGAAATAAGTGACCCCAAACTTATTGCAAATATTTTTAATAATTATTTCTCAAATGTTGGTAAGAATTTTGCAGATTCAATACCAACTGTTCAAAACACTCCAACTGAATACCTAGGAATACCTATTAGAAACAGTTTCTTTATTTCTCCGACTACTAGAGGGGAAATCGAACAAGAAATTAGTAAGTTTAAATCAAGTAAAGCTGTTGGTCCCTTTAGTATACCAATTTTTGTCCTCAAAATGGTTAAATCAGTCATATCTGAACCTCTAGAATATTTAATTAATATGTCATTCTCTAATGGAATTATTCCAAATGACTTTAAAATTGCGAATGTCATACCAATTTACAAAAAAGGTTCTCTTAGTTGAACATGCAACTATAGACCTATCTCACTCCTTTCTATTTTTGACAAATTATTAGAAAAGTTAATGTATAAGAGACTATTAAATTTTTTGAACAAAAATAGAGTCTTATTTGAAAGGCAATTTGGTTTTTGCACCATGTATTCAACTGAGTATGCAATTTTATCAATTGTAGATAAAGTACAAAAAGCAATTGACAATCGTAATTATGCATGTGGAATATTTTTGGATTTCAATAAGGCTTTTGATACTGTTAATCATGAAATTTTAATTCAGAAATTATCTTGCTATGGGGTAAGGGGCGTTGCTTGCAAGTGGTTTATCTCATACTTACGTAACAGAAAGCAATTTGTAACTATAAATAATGAAACATCAAACAACTGCCCAATCAGCCGTGGTGTTTCACAGGGTTCAGTTTTAGGACCTTTACTTTTTCTACTATATATAAATAACTTTCAAAATTGTTCTAAATTATTTGAATTTACGCTATTTGCTGATGATGGTAATTTGTTTTTTGAGGATAATAACTTATCCTCTATGGAAGCAAATATAAATTCTGAATTGGTTAATATTGACAATTGGTTGTGTGCAAATAAATTGTCTCTTAACATTGAAAAATCTAATTATGCAATATTTCATGCTAGACAGAGAACTGTTAGAGATAACTTCAACTTGTCAATGATGAACCAACCTCTTAAGCGAGATACTTCAATCAAGTATTTGGGTATCCTTATTGATTCTAATCTCAGTTGGAAAAGTGAAGTAGAAAGTATTGCTAAAAAAATAAGAAGGAGTGTTGGTATAATTTCAAAACTTCGTCACTATGTTAATAAAAAAATACTATTAAATCTTTACTATTCACTGATTTATCCTTTTCTAATTTATGGTTTACTAGCGTGGGGAAATACTTATAAAACAACATTGAACCCCATCCATATTCTTCAAAAGAAAGTTATTCGAATTATAACTTTTTCTAAATTTGATGAGCATACAAGTCCACTGTTTAAGGAACTAAAAATCCTTAAATTTCCCGATCTTGTAACATTCCATATTTCAATTTTTATGTATAAATTTCATAATAATATACTACCGTCAATTTTTGAGTCATTTTTCACAAGGGTTGATCAAGTTCATAATTATAGAACTAGATCTTCCACGAGTGAATCTTATTATATTCCAAAAGTTCGAACCAATTATGGATTATTTAATATTAGAAATCAAGGTCCAACTATATGGAATTCTATACCTAAAGAAATTAGGTATGCTTCCCTTTCCAAATTCAAAAATCAATTTAAAAATGATTATTTTCAGACATACTAACCAGAATGATACTAAGGAGTCTGCTACCAGTTGCAAATGCATCTAAGAATGATTGTGTGTTGTGTGTCTTTGTTGCCATTTTTACCGACTTACTTATCATAATTTTATTACGGTATTAAAAAGTAAACTGGCA